ACACAGGCCTTCTTAGGATAGATTTGAAGTGCTCCACACAAGCCCCGATAATCTCCTCTTGATGCACTAGCTCAACTCCATCTACTACCAATTTGGAGATCAGGTTCTTCCTTCTCCTGCCTTCTGCTAGAGAGTGGAAAAACCTAGTGTTTTTGTCCCCCTCTTGTACGAACCATCCCATTTCCCACTATTGCTCCCTTGTTCATTTAATCCCCTGCCCAACAAAAATTTGTCTCTTCTATCTTTTGTTTTTGTTCCTAGGTCTATTTAGGAACCTTTTTCCTCATCTGATTTGGAAATGGATGACAAATTTCAAGCTCTTCAGTCTAACCATACATGGGACTAGGGGTGGATTAGGGTCGAGCCAAGCCAAATATACAACTATTCGAGCTCAACTAGCCAAAAATCCATCAGGCTCGAGCTCGAACATGAGCCAAGCTTCTTATAAAAAAATAAAAATTATATATATATATATATATAATTTTACATATTAATATTTAAGAATTTCAAAAAAATATTATTTATTATCATACATATAAAAAATAAAAGCATTATTATACATATAAAAATTATTTATTAATTTATGTATGTTTATATATATAAGCTCGATTTGGCTCATGAGTTGAGCTCTATAAGGCTTGAGCTCAACTCGATTAGTAAACGAACCTATATATTGGGCTCGAGCTCGACTCAGAGCTCAATTTAGGCCGAGCCAAATCAAGCTTTTCACGAGCCGAGCTCAAATAGCTCATGAAAAGCTCAACTCATTTCCACCCCTACATGGGACCTTACCTCCTTACCTCTTGGGAAGTAGGCAATTTGATGTTGATGGATGTGTACCATCAAGCACAAACAAGATGGTAGCATTAAGCAACTTAAAGCACGGCTGGTGGTCAAAGGCTATACACAAACTTACAATATTGAGTACTCTAAGACCTCCCCAATGGCTTAATTTTCCTCTATACAAGTTATTATTTCTCTAGCTATCCATTGTTACCGGCCCTTTTACCAATTCAATGTCAAGAATGCTTTTCTTAATGGTGACCTTCAGGAAGAGGTGTACATGGAGCAACCTCTAGGGTATGTTATCCAGGGGGAGGTTGGAAAGGTGTGTAGGTTGCACAAGGCCATTTATGGATTAAATCACCACAAGCATGGTTTGGTAGGTTCAATAGTGTTGTGTAGGAGTTTGGTCTCAAGCAAAGTGGAGTTGATCGTTCAGTTTTGAGTAGGGATACAACATCTAGGAAGATCATCTTGGCAGTGTATGTTGATGACATAGTCATTACTAGTACTGATGTTGGTGGGATTAGTGATCTAAAACAGTTTTTGCAACAACAACTAATGACATAGTCATTACTTGAAGTATTTTTTGGATATTGAAGTAGTTCGCTCTAAGTGGGGAATCTCCTTGTCACAACGAAAGTATGTCTTGGATTTATTGGACGGGTCTACCAAGGGCTAAACCAGTTGAGACCGCTATGGATCTTAATGCGATGATTAATAATCAAGGGGAGCCATTCAGTGATCCTATAAGGTATAGGAAATTAGTTGGTAAACTGATTTATCTCACAATCATATGTCCTGACATCTCCTTTAGTGTAGGGGTTCTGAGCCAGTTCATGCAGAACCCCACAATCATTTTTTTATTTTTTTTGATGAATCAGAACCCCACAATCATTCAGTAGGAAGGTGTTGTAAAAGTGTTGACATATCTGAAAGGTACTCTAGCCCAGGGATTACTAAACAAGAAAGGGGAGAACTAGCCTTTTTGTGTGGCATGAGGTCTACTACAAGCTACTACACCTTTTTGTGTGGCAATCTAATCACTTGGAAAAGTAAGAAGCAGAGTGTGGTTGCTAGTAGTGTTGAGGCAGAGTATAGAGCAATGGCCCACACCACATGTGAGTTGATCTAGTTGAAACATCTACCTTCCATGAGATAGGCATTCCTAGAGTAAATATGGTTGCATCCACTATTAAATATGGTTGCACACAGTATTATTTTAAAAGCCAGAGTGGTCACACAAGAAGAAAATAAGAGAAACTTCATAAAGAAACAGCACTTGGGGAATGAAACTTATACCAGTCCTTGATCTACACATGTTTGGAACTGCATAATTCTCTTCTCAACCTCCACAATAAGTAGCCTCCTTTGGAGCCGAGCAATCCTTCCTCGGCCTTCAGCCCTAGTGTCCTGATTAAAAATAAGATTTAATAAAAGAATGCATGACAGAAACTTGCCAAATACACTGAATAATTTTATCAGCAAGTCAATTTGAAAGATTTCCAACTGTATTAGAGGGTAAAATATACTTCTTTTAATTCTTTCAGACATGTAGAACTTCAGAAAACAAAATGGCTTGGTAAAAAATGTGATAAACCATATCAAATACCTGATCAAATCAATATGAACAAATAAAAGTTGTTTGATCCATTAATATGTGCAAGAAGTGCATTAATTCAATATATATGGGTTGTTTGTATATTTATATTATCATCCGGTGTGGGTGACTGATAAGACAGCCCAGCGATAAGCCTCCAGCCAAGGCCCAGGGTGTCAGGGGAAGTGCAGCCCATACACAGACCCAGCAGGCTAGCTACAAGAAGACCACAAGTTTCTTTTCTACACTCAGATATGTCTACTCTTGAAAGCCACAACAGCGTCTATTACAGCTTGGAGTTGTCACCAAGTGTATAAATAATACATGATGGGAAGAACAAAGACAGATCTGAGTTTGCCTCCAGTTTTCTTCCTTTTCCCTCCAAACTTTTTCACTTCTCTCTGTATAATTATTTCAGGAGGAAGAACTCCCTCAAACAAGCCCAATCTTATCAATTGGTATCAGAGCTCTCAATCTGCAATGCCGAATACAAGATCTGCATCTGTGGACGAAAAAGTATAACGCATTGAGGTTGAACTGCACAAGGTGACCAGAAATATCAAGGACGTCAAGGAGAAACTGCCGATTATGGTGACTTAGTTTGAGAAGTTCTTGCCATCAGCAAAGGAGGATATATGTAATTTACACTTCAGTTAACAGAGATTAATTAATCTAATTAGGGGACTGGAGAGAGGTTTGACTTTCTATTCTCCATCACCGTTTTTCTCTCTCCCAACTCTGATTTCTCTTCTCTCTTCACTTGTATTCCTTCTCTTTGATTAAATTAATCAGATTATTGCTGGTTTATTCTTCTATCACAATGATCTTGGCTTCTATCTTGAGAGTTCTTCTCCATCCTATTGCTCAGATGAAACTCTCCTCCATCCTAATGCAGTTCCAACTTAACATCTCATGAAAGAATTTGCACTGATAGGATTGTCATTTTATTAATTTCAAAGGATCTTAACAGCAGTGAGTCATGCAGAAGGTAAGAATTTTCTTATTTAACAAGAGATCACAAGAATGGTGATTTACTCGATACCCAGTTTCCTTTATCTAGACAGTGTGGGAGTCATTTGACGATCGCTCAGGAGTTTTTTAATTCATAGTCTACTGTTACATCTACCCATCTGCAAGCAATGTCAAGTTCAGTTGTTTGTTCTCTGAAATATTAATTGAAATTGGGTTTGGTGAGACTTGAGATTGCATCCAATGTTTTTTAATTCAATAAACCACAAAATAAAGTTAAGAATACAGCAAACCAAACAAAAGAAATGCACTAAATTACTCTCACTATCCTGACTCAAATGATGTCTGACTTGGGGTTACAAATGTTTGAATACAAGGGAAGAGAATGGATGATAGACTCAAAAGTCTCATTAACTTCTACATGTTTATGAGCAACCTTCTCCCTCATATTAATACAATCGTACTACCATTTATGAAGAAAAAAACTAGTCTCGTGAACCTGTCTAAACAATCTTAGTAATTGACTCAGCTCAAACTCAATTAACACAAGTCAGCAAGCCATGTCTATAACAACTATTGAACCACACAAGGACAGACACATTTAACATGCATATAAATTCTGTCAAGTATATATTTAATCATGGATTAATTAAGAGACATCTTGAAGATCCTCATTGTATCCTCACCTGTTTCAACCATGCACGCACTACCATGAGAAATATAAGTGAGAGAAAGAAGGCTGGTAAAGCAGCAAGAATTGCAAAATTGATTTCATTTGCCCTCAGAATCTGGTCAAGTTCAAGCATTGCCCTGTTTGGAAATAAAGAAATTAGAAAGCTTACAACAAAGCATGAAATTGTTTGGATGCCTGCTATTTAACTCACGTCTCAATATCCAGTTTTAACTTCTGAATCTGCAATAGTATAAACACAAACCAACTGTCACATAATATGAAGCTAAAATAATAAGCAAATGTCCTTTAAAATAGTGTGCAATACCTGAATAAGCAAAGCACGAGCAAGCTCTCCCCCAAGAAGATTTTGAATTGGATGCATTAACTCCTTCTCATACCTGCAATAGAGATACCTATGAAATTTTGTTGGCAAACAAAACAGTTGAAAAACAGTCATCTTGATGTATGGAACTGCTTGAGATTAGATGCAAACCAGAAAATAAACAAACAAGAGAGGAAGAAGAGAGAGAGAGTTGGCGGCAATGAGGGTTAGAGAGTAAGAGGTTCGAACATAACCTCCCTCTAACACTAAACATTTTATTAAGAAGTTAATCTTTGAAATATTACAGAGAGGCCCTTGAGTGGGCAAGAAAATACAAAA